GACACGGCGGCAGTGGTGGGGGTGATGCAGTAGGGGACACAGTAGTAGTTGGAGTTGTTGTATAATAAAGCTTTGGGCTTGCGGGAGCAGTTCTAGTGAGGAGAGTTCCTGCAGGGTGGGCTACACTCGCTCAGAGGAAAGAACTAGCGTCCCCGAGTGTTCCCCAGCACTGTGGACTGCATCCCTGGAAGAGAGAGGCAGGGGAGGAGCTGGGCATGTGGGCGTTGCACTGTCAAGGGACACTAGGAAGTGTGGGTACATTGCGTCCCTGCCACGGATGTCAGAGGATAGCCTGCTAACCCTCTCTGTAAGTGTAGGACCGGCCTGTGTGCTCATAGCCGAGGAACCGAGGCACTGACAACCCAGAAGACGTGGGCCTCCCTTCCCCCGGTCTGTGCCTCCTGGTCCCCTGACAAACAGTGCCGAGCGTCCTGCATTCCGACTGACATGCCCAGCAGTGGGAGCACTGGTGGTAGCTGGCCACAGTGGACTGCTGGTGGTCACAGAGCAAGTGCAGCGGGCTGCGTAGGGTGTGTCCATAAGGCGTGGGCCCAGCCTGGTGCAGTGGGAGGCAAGGCCTGGGCTGGACTGTGTTGTCCTTCGTTGTGGATTTGCATCTGACTTTGTGCCTGGAAACCCAGACCAGAACAGCATCCCTAGTCTTTGCCTAAAGTCTCCGTCTGTGAGCGGGCCGTGCTGGCCAGATGAAGCCCTGCATTGGCTCTGCTGTGTTCCCTGAAGTGCAGTCCCGGCCAGGCTCTTCTACTGAGTCCTAACCAGTTCACCTCGGGGCTTGTATTGAGTGAAGCACAGCTCTTGGTCAGAAGGAACTGTGGTGCTATGAAGCCCCTGCTGTGACTGGCCCTCCTCAGCTATGGTGGAGGGTGACCTCTTGGGATCGCTCTCATGGTAGCCTCCTCCGGCCAGACACAGGGTCCACATCTTGTGTGGCCTGGTGGCCCAGGGCTTTCGTGTCCTTGGTGTGCAGTGCAGCACCCCCTGAGCAGGTTGGTGGCTGGGCTGAGGATGGGTGCTATGTGGAACTGCCTCTGGTTTGGGGACTCTTGGGCCCAGGAGGCTTGCTCACAGGTCTCAGTGGCAAGTGTCCCCTCCCTGTGGTGCCTTCCCGTGAAACGGGTATTTCCCTTTCAGTGGCTTAATGAAGAGAAGGTCATCGAGAGGCTCGTGGGGCTGATCCACCCAGGTCAGGAGGAAGACGTGAGTGCCAGCCACCAGCACTTCTCCCTGCTCAGGAGCACTGTGGGCTCGTCCCACCCGTCACCCAAACAGCTCCCACAGCAGTATTCCACTGCCTGTGGCCGAGGGTGGGGCCACTCCCAACTTGGCATGTGGTTTCTACTCCTTGTGACCAGTGGGACTGGTGACCCAAGTGAGCACCAGGGGCCAGAAACACCCCGACCCCCAACTGTCCCAACTACAGCCACCCAGAGGCAGGCAACCTCCCACAGAGCTAGCCTGGCCCCTCGGGCCTCTGAGCATTTGTCTCTCGGGTGGCGTTCACACTGGTGCCCTGTGGTCTCCATGTAGACTGGGAGTGCTGCTCCTGAGGTGCTGGCTCTGCTTGTTGCTCTGCAAGGCACCCTCCAGCCTCAGCCCCTGTGAGCCCTGTCGAGATTTCCTGGGAGGTAGTCACAGCTGAAAAAAAGGTCTAAGCCAGCTTCTGGTGGGGAGGGGAACTTAGGCAACTGGGACCCTCTTGGAAATGCCAAGCTGGGACCATCTGTCTTTCTGAAAACTGTTTCTGGGGTCCTTGTGCCTCCACCTGCCCAGTTCCCAGAATCCTGACGGCCTTGGTTCCTCCCCTGCAGAGGCAGTCCAATGCGTCCCAGACACTCTGTGACCTCATCCGGTTGGCCAGAGACCAGAGTGGTCAGCTGCAGGAGATGGTGGAGCCCGACCCCCTCCTTGTGGTCCTGGAGTCGTGAGTGCCACCCAAGGAGGTGGGGCCTCTGTGGCCGGGGAATCCTGGGCCTGCCTCAGAAGGAGGGGCCGTCACCCTCACTGTCCTCATCCCACCCTCAGGGGGAAGGGCCATCATCCTTACCATCATCCACCCCACAGAGGGAAGGGCCATCATGCTCATCACCCCCGAGGCAAGGGCTGTCACCCTCACGGTCCTTACACCACCACTCCCTGAAGGAGGGGCCATGACCCTCACCATTATCACCAGCCTTAACCCTGTTGCTGTGATAGGCGCTCTGGGCTGCAAGAGGTGGTCCCCAAGGAGTCCCCGCAGGCCCAAGGTCAGGCCTGGGCCCTCCTCCTGGTGCTGCCTGTGCCCGCAGTGAGCGCGCGTGTCTCTGACAGGCAGGGCTGTGTGGAGCAGCTGCTCAGGAACATGTTTGATGGAGACCAGAGCGAGAGCTGCCTGGTGCATGGCACTCAGGTCCTGCTGTCCCTGCTGGAGCCGCGGCGCCCAGGGTGAGTCCTGTTCCTCCTCCCTGGGTCCTTACCCGAGTCCAGTCACCCAGCTCGGCGTGACAAGTCCCCTTCAGTCATGATGTTGGCCCACACACACAGAGTGGCCAGGCTTGGGGGCTGGGTAGAAAGTGGACACAGACCTACATTGCAAGTAGGGCAGGGAGTGGACATAGCCCCACAGTGAGAATGGGGGGAGTGGACACAGTCCCACAGTGAGAATGGGGTTGGGGTGTGGACACAGTCCCACAGTGAGAATGGGG